TGAAGAAGAACGATGCTTTTTAACTTAACTTAAATTATTTGAATCTGACAATCAAATGGTTAAACTAGAAAATAATTTGTAATAATTTTACTAAGTTCATCTAATTTTCAATACATCGATAGCTGAAATTCCCATAATACATTAATTTCAGCCCAAATTTATTTCTCGAATTCGATCCACCCTAAAGCTGATCACAAATATTTATTTAACAATTGAGGTTGTGGGACACTCCATCAATGACAAAATAGAAATCCTGCTATAGAATATTACTCAGAAATATTTAGCTATTATGGTTCACCCGAATTATACTAGTTATCTGATAACTAATCGCTTTGCCAACATTACATTTTGCTATCAATATACGCACCGAATAAACATATTCCGTGCTACACATCTGTTTCCCTTATAGCTGGGCTATAGCTTAGCTTGTTCTGGGAGTCTAGCTAGATGTTGGAGAATCTGCCATAGAGATTTCTGAGTCGGTCAGGCTTTACTAGCGTAGCAATCCGCTACAGGTTTATTTTCATTAATAAAACTATTTCACGTTTTCATTTTTTTATCATATTTCTGTAAATAGAACACATTGATAATTTCATCATATTTTTCGAGCAGTAGAATTGAGGATTTTATTGAATATAAAATGTCTAATAGAATACCATAACTATTCCATTTTTTCGTCATTCAGCCGAATCAACAAACCCAGATGCCAATTGTTGAACCAGGAAAAGAGAGCATCTTAATAGTCATTCCAGATTACTATATCGATAAAGTGTACAGAGGAATCGCAAGGCTGCAAATGGTAAGTGAAATAATCATTATTCCTTTTTAACAATAATTTTGTTTATTTTTGAAAAGAAAAGTGCGTTTTTTCCCTATCGGAGAAATTTTTAATCAATAAAAGTAGGCTTGCGAATTTCGCAATAAATTGTTCTATCCCCTTGGGTCTGAAATTCTCCCCGCGGAAATTACTAGAGTTTTCATTAATTAATTTATTAAAAACGCTGCATAATAAAAATTCCTATTCTAAGGAAAATATCAAATTTTAATAACTCAAGTTCAATTTTACCGGATTGTAAGCCTATTTGCCTTCGAGAAGAAAAACTAATTTTCTTATTATTTTTTGTGGGTAACTTTGAATTAAACCCCAAAAGTGATGTTAAAAGCCTTCTTTTGAATAAAATTACTCAAAATGCTAAAGCTTTTGCGAATAAAATTAATAAATGCAGCCTCTCAGTTTCGCTTAAATTCAGTTGGGTTGAAATTCATTGAAGGTCAAAAGGTTAAAGGTGAATGCAATTACCGACCTTAAGTGAGGCAAGTTCCTACTCTCTTTGATTTCGGCTTTGGCACGGACCGGCCAACTTGAGTAATTAACAAACTAAGATTCTTCAAGGTAAGTGCCCAACCTATGAACCTCATCCTCATGAAAGCAACTGGAGATCGAAAAATGGCGTAATTTCCGCATTTGATAAGAAGGTCATGCACTATGCCCTTTTGAAATCCTAATAAAAGGCCTTTAGAATATAAGATGAGACTTTATTTTTGGGAAAAGATTATTTTCTTTTCTGTGCAGCTTCAGTTCTATTGGTCCCGAGAAAAGCTACTTTATCATCCAGGCAAAGCTAGACTAACACCCCCCCCCCTCCTCCCTCCTCCACCATAACTAATTATCTCCCCAAAAGCTAACAGAATACCACAGCCTTCTTTTGTCGGGTGGGCGGCTCCGAGAGTTGAATAGGACGAGGGATTTATGTGAAGTTTAGGAACTGATGAGAACCCAAAAAGAGGAAGGAGAGGAAAGAGAAGTTTTGGGGAAAGAAAGAGGCGCCATTACTGAGCGCCAACAATCCGCAGTTAGATGATTGGGCGAAATGGGGGGGGGGCATAGCGCGGCAACGAACCAATTGTGAGCCGCTTGTTCACCGCTAATTATGATAAAGACATGAATCGGAAGGCAAGTCAAAGACAAGTTGCATACACGGAAGTCGGGTTCTGTTGATCAAAGGCTTCCAAATTATCCTAGCCCAGCTTCAAAGTTTTGTAACATACTAAGCTTTAGAAATAATTCAGTTGTGTTTTAGTTAATAATTTTCTTGTCATTGGAGAGTGATTATAAGAGGTCATTTAGTCATATATGAGTGGATATGAAAAGCAATAATGCTAGAGCAAAAAGAAGCAGGAGGGGATAAATAGGCCAAATTGATTACCACATCATCCTCATCATCAAAAAAGGGACGAGTCCTCTATCTGGGTCTTGCTTCCACTACGATTGCAAACGCTTCCACCAGTGCCTGCGAAGCGTATGTGCTAGCCAAGTGAAAGCCAATTTTGAACGCTTTTTAGAACGTCCTTACTTTTAATTAGGCAAGAATCTTTCCAAACAACCAATCAGGTTGATAAAATTATTTAATAATTTTGGGAAAAATCAGCTTACCTTCATTTATTGGTCGATTGACCTTCGTTAGTAAACGATGATTGGTTCGGATTGATTAAATCTTCGTTCTGATGGCTGATTGGAAGATGGAAGTAGATGTAGGTCTTTAAGAACTCTCGACATTAAACTCACGTTTAAACATCTACATCAATTTTAATCTTGGCAAATATGGGTCTTCTTACTATCGTTTCTATTATTTTACACTTTGGGCGTACAAATTGACCAATATATAATCAAATTATATTATACTTCAATTCTAGCATAAATAAATATGTGCATATGAACGCATGAGGATATTGCCAATTGGCATTAATTAACTTCCTTCGAAAAATTTAATCCTTTCACGAGTGCGAGATTAAAAGAAGCTTTTCACTGTATTTAATTAAATGAGACTTCATGTAGTTGCATTTCTATTAAACTATAAACAAAAATTAATGTTAATTTGATTTTGCTTACTTTTGTGTGGATTCACCGTCTACTTAGACCATTACACACGAAAAAAAGTTACTTGGCAATTGTCATCTTACAGTTTCGAAACCGCTGGAATTGACGAGGAGCAATCTTGATCAATTAATCTTCACTTACAAAGAACAAGCAGTTTGCAATAATAATGGGATCTGTGATCAAAAATAAGCTCAAATACATTCTGAACCCCATCAAAGCTGAGGTTGACATTTTGGAAGAGGAATATTCCTAACACTCTTGCACTATTTAACATTGTGTAGTAAACGTTTTCGTCTTTTCCACACGACTGTACCTTTATGGGCTATCGTCAAGTTAAAAGAACAATAATGTCCTGCCTTCTTGATAAAAAATAATTGAAGATACAGAAGAAATTCATTGTAATAAAGCCAAATGTTCCAGATAGATGACTTTATTCCAATAATACGCTTTCACCAATTTATTGCATTTTCATTATTAATATTTATTTATTTATTTCGAATGGCAGGCATTTTGATAGTTATCATTAGCCCTTAGCTGACTTCGAAATTCACAGAGGGGAGAAACATCAAAGTTCAAGTGGGTGGAACGAAGAGTGATTTGCAGATGTAAAAGAGACAGGCACAATGATAGAGGGTAGGGTAAGGTGAGTACTGTAGAAGTGGTCAACTATGACATACAGTGAGGTCATGGTAGCTTGAAGTCAGAAGTCAACTGCCGAATAATGGACCTTTTTGCCGTATGAGTATACGTTGCCCAGAGTGCACCACGTGGAGGTAGGTCTATCGCACACCCCTCATTATTAATATAATTTTATCAACAGAACATCTCCAAAAATCTGCTTACTCAATATCCAAAATGGGTACATGCGCCTAATTACGACGTAAAGGATATCTTATATTCCTTCGGAAATGACGAGGTTCTCTACACTTCTACTGGTCCAGATCCTACAGAAATGCATCTATTCATGTTAGTTGAAAGATTTCCATATCTTGTCTACTGCTATAATTTCAGTAAGACTAACATTATAGAAATCCCCTAACTAGAACTCGAGGTGGTCCACATGCCAAATGCCTCACTTGCGGTGACCCTTCCTGCCGTTTCAACTCGGCGAAAGTTTCCAAAGACGGTGCAAACATTCTCATCGAGTGTCTTGGCCCTTCGCCTCCCTCCGTCTATCTAAAACGTCTCAAGAGGACGGATGTAGATTTGGGATCATTAGATAACGGTACTGTTGTATCGAACAATACAAAATTAAAGGACTTAGTTGCTGCCAAAGCTATGCCTGTGATAAAGTTCGAAAATGTTACACTTTACCGTGGAACAAGTTCAGAAGTAACACTTCGTGTCAAATTCATGCAGCCTCCAGAACTGATCGAGTCACATATTACCCAATATCCCGTACTTCTTGATACGTAAGTGTCTTCAAGCCCAATTCGTTCTTCCCCCTAGTCCAAGAACTATGTGATTATTATTATTTCAGATATGGAGGGCCCGTTTCTCAGACAGTTACAACAAAATACGTGGCAGATTGGCCAACCTATTTAGTGACACAATTCAAGTTTGTTGCCATCTCAATTGATGGGAGAGGGACAGGCAATAGGGGGAAAAAATTCGAGTCTGAAATTCACAAAAATCTTGGCGTTGTTGAAGTTCAAGATCAGATGAACGGATTGAGGTTGGTTCATTCCATTCTTTTCACCTCATTGCTAATGCTACTTAAAATTTAGCACACTTTGAAAAGAAACATCAATAACGTTTTGAAAAAAAGCTGTATTGATTCCATTGATTAATATTTTTTTGCCCAATACGAATAAAAGTGTTGTTTTACTGCACAGAGCAATTTCCGATGTAATTACAGTTAAGCTATTAAAAAAGGGAAATTGCAATTTAGTTCAATAATGCATGCAAAGAAATGGGCAATTTTCTACTGTCCAATTAAGATGATTGAACTTCAAAATGATTAATTGAATTATGGTCACGACACTCTGCGTCAAGTAATCAGTTGATTCAATCGCGCACTTCGCTTCTGCCTGAAGCTGTGTTTGGCAAATGAGACTTACAGTACCCTTAACGGTGATATAAAGTTTACTTAAAGGGTAGGATTATATTAGGTCAGAAATCTCCGCCCTCCTTGAGGCTAATAGAATACCGCGGTATTTTCTGCGTGTGAAGGGTACGGCTTAATTAAAACAAGGTGGTTGTTGGACAGCTGGAATTGGATGAGAAGGGGAAACGGGGAAACAATGGGGCAGAAATTGGAAGCAATGAGGAGGCTGTGGGAAGTGAAGTTATCTAGGACAAGGCGATAACCATTGATAATCATCTGGCAATAAGATTGAAGGCATGCAACAGTAAGTGCGCAATTCGTAAAAAAATTTTGTGAATATTCGCTTTATCTTCTAATACTACACAAATAATCTATTCTTTAGTGATTAATTTGATGAATTCTAGAAATAAAGTGAACTTTGTGTGAAGTTCAGTTTAATTCTTTTCAGTTTGCCAAAATATTAATGAAATACTTTTTTGTTGTTGTTGTTAAGGGAGATCTTAAGGACGCACAAATACTTGAATAAGTCACGGGTCTGCGCCTTCGGATGGGTAAATTGTAGCTTAATTCAACTGGAAATTCAAAAGTTATCTTTAATTACTTCTGCATTGTATTATTTTTCAGTCCTATGGGGGATTTACGGTGGCAAATATGCTGGGACACCCTGAAAACGACTTCCTCTCTTGTGGGGTGGCAGTAGCGCCCGTCACCGACTTCCGTCTCTATGGTAATCGTTCTCTCACTTCTTTTGTTATGTTTTCTAAACAATAGGCGTCTTAAATACCGTTTCAACTCCATCACCCTTGATTTCAGACAGTGAAAAAAGGGCTTAGCTATAGACAAGTTTCAACCTGGCGCCAACGTACGCTGAATAACTTACAGAATCAGGATAAAAATGATTGATTAATAAGGTGGAGATAGCACAAGTCCATATTTAATTGAAGTTGTAAACAATGAGTTGTTCTTTTATTATGACATGGCGCCTTTCGCCTAATTTATCTCCCATACTTATGGATGAGATTATGTTTGGGATATTTAAAGCTTGCTTATTGTGGATGGCCATGTCAGCACGCTGGAGTTTAATCAAGGTGAAGTGTGATCAGTTTAAAAACTAATGTGAGCTAGTTAGGAGAAGCGCTACCAAACGCTTAACTCAAGTAGGAGAAATGAAATAGGTGTGTAGCGATGGGCGTAACTATCTTGAACTCTGGCCCTGCAGACATAGTCGTTGAGTCGTCAGTGAACACACGAGATTGGAAAGTTTGCTTATACATATTAACAGCTACATAACTCTAAAATGGGAGTAATTAAGTCATTTCTATGTTAGTAAATCGTAAATATGCTTATATGCTTATATGCCAATTACTTTCCAGATAGGAAATAGACAGACTATAACTTAATACCCATTATCGAAGTAGAAAAAGGAAAGCTTGTGTGGTATTCCTAACTGAAAGGGTAAATAGAGTATTGGTTGAATAAAGTAATAATCACCATTTGGAAACTGTTTGGAGGTGGAAGTAAATGGGGTTTGAATGAAATCAAATTAACCTGGAGGGAAGTAATACGCGATATTGGGGGCAAGAACGCTACGTTGTAACTATCAGCTGATAGCTTTCAGAAGAACTGAACCGGAATTCGGACAATCATGGCTACTGGTTCACATAATCCCAAAATCTTCTGTAGAATAATTCTTCGAATAGATCTTCTCCAGCTGAGTTTATTTTAAACTCCCAGAATTATAAGATAATATCTACTTTTCCTCTCGTGTTAAGCTATACTCTTCTTATTGTGTAGATGCGGCGTACACGGAGAGGTTTCTCGGATTATATTCAGAGAATGCGCATGCCTATGAAGTGAGTGCCAATTTTTCGAATTTAAATTCGAATTCATTTTTGGCCAATTTAAGTTGATTTGCTTCTCCCAAACAGCGTACAAAAATCAGTCAATTAGCTACAAATTTTAGAAACAAAGACCTTTTAATTATTCACGGAATGGCAGATGGTGAGTACAATTATTAGTTTTCAATGATTGGTTTGTCTTGTGTTTCTTTTTTGAATTAATATAACTATTATAATCATTATAGACAATGTTAACTTCGAGCATACAGCGCTGTTTGTCAAGGAATTAATTAGAAAAGGAGTACAATTCGATATGATGGTAAATATTGATTATTTAATTTCGCTTGCAGTTTCAGTAATAATGTTTTTCAACCTGTGTGCATATATGCTTGGATTAAAATGGATCTGTTTTGTACAGATGAGCACTTTAAATTAAACCTCAGAGATTAAAGAAATGTGGCCTCATAAGTTTGCATATCATATGTAGCGGATTGTTACATCAGTAAAGCCTTGATTGACTCAGAAATCTCAAAGACAGCTTCTCCCATTTCTAGCCAGACTTTCAGAACTATCTAAGCTACAACCCAGCTATAGAAGAAACAAACGTATCGCATAGAATACGTTTATTCATGAACTATGTGGTAGATAAAGTGTACACACCATAGGAATATTTGTAGTCAACTTAAACAAAACCCGCTTAAACAAACGGAGGCTTCTGATTGGCCATTGGTTGTACACGCATGGAATCACGCGTTAACCGATGGCGTGTCCCACACATATTGCAATGACATCACAGCAGAAAAACCTAAATTTATAAAAAACATAAATCTCAAGTTGTTAGTAAGGAAATGACGTCAAAAGCGGCGAATTGGACCTCTTATGATTCACATGGGGGAGAGGCAATCAGTGGGTCATTAGATGGAAACTCAGTGGGAAAGGCATATGGTGACACAATTTTCATGAAGAAGGATTGCTTTAATCGTTTGATTCCCCTTTAGGCAAATCAGTCTAAAGTATGGCCTTTCTGTCCCCTTTAGCTATATCCAGACGATAATCACTTTATAGCCCAACCGGGTTTTCGGCCGCATTTGTGGGAGAAAGTTATAACATTCATAGTGGATAGTGTTAACCGGACTTCCATTCGTCATCGGCACAATTTTGATGATCTCTGAGCCGATCACCCCCTAAAGGCCACCACCCTGTCCTTCTCTCTCCTCCCCTCAATTCCTCTTCCTCCACCACCAGTGAGTGTACAAACGACCAATCGTTTTCGGCCATCCAAATTCAGCCAACATCCATCAAATGCACAGCGCAACAGATAACAGTTATTCATTCACCGACAGACACACTAATTTAAATACCGAGCCAAGTTGGAATTAAGACAGTCGGGTTGTCAAAGGGAGATTAGCATAAAAAAACAATGAAGACGCGGGTATTCTCGTTAGCAAAAACAGAACGAAGTTGTGGATATGTATATTTTTTATTGCATTCACATAATTATCTACCCTTATTCACAGATAAGTATATATTACACACATATATACGAAGTATTAAGGGTTGTATTATTATGAAAAATACATGTAAGAGTTGTGAGTTCATTTCTCTTCTCCGTTATTACATAAATTAATATCTGGCGTGCCTAGTGGAGCTCAAAGTCTCTTTAGTTAAAAGATTTATTTGTTTATTTATTTCAAATGGTAGGCGTTTTGATAGTTATCCTTAGCTCTTGAGCTGAATTCGGACTTCATAGAGAGGAGGAGAAACATCAAAGTGAAAAAAATCGAGATGGGTGGGGAACAGAAGAGTGTTTCAAAGATGTTAAGGAGACAGATACAAAGGTAGAAAAAAGGTGCGGTGAGTATTGTGGAAGTAGTCGAATATGACATACATTGGGGTCATGGTAGTTAGAAACCTGTAGTCAACTGCCGGTTTACAGACTTTTTTGCCGTATGACTATACGTTGCCCAAGGTGCACCACGTGGAGGTAAGTCCATCGTGCACCCCAGTTAAAAATATAAGAGTGATGAATGAAGTATTTTGTCAGACGGAAGGTCAAAACCTCAAAGCAGGGTATTAGGAAGGCTACTTCTAACAAATCATTCAGCCGGAGTCCTGAAAGCCGATACAACCAGTGGTGCTTGGTGTGGCCACCAGCACTGTTTAGTTGAGATCCAAAAGAGGATTGTTAAAAGCACGAGTTGCCCATAAGAATGTATTCGCAATGTTTTGCCTCCACTCAAAGCGCAATTTAATGAAACAATGAGAATGGCTCATTTTTTCTTTTCCTTCAATTAGCTCTTATGGCTGAGGACTGATTTTATCTTACACTTTCAAATGCATCACATATATTTAGAACGCAATGTAAATCGCCTAAAGAAGCGGCAATTTCATTTGTTGCTGATGTGATTCTTTTTCATTGATAATTGAATTTCAGCGAATAAATCAGTAACTTGAAGCAGGCGAAGTTAATTAGGCCCTATAAGAGTTGCATTTTCTAACATTTATTTTTATCAAATGGTAGGTTTTATTAAAGCTACCATTAGATATTTAGTTGACTACGAGCTTCACAGAGGGGAGGTACATCAAGGGCACAAAATGTCGAGAGGGAAACAGAAGATGGTTTCACATATGTAAAAGAGAAACAGGCAAAAAGGTAAAGAAAAGGGTATGGTGAGTACTGGTAAACTTGTCGAAAATTTCGTACAGCCTGGTCATGGTAGTTTGAAGTCAACTAAAGGGTTGTGCATTGCTCAGAGTGCACCACGTGAAGGTAAGTCTATCAAACACCCCTTGTTTCTAACATAATCTTGGATAATATGAACTACCTTACAAGGGTACAATAGCATTTCCCTAATTAAAAGAATGAAAAATTGGAAGGTGGTTGGATCATTTCCTTCAAGTTGTCCACGTTCAAGTTTGTTCATACAGGTATACTGTTTAGGAACCAAGAATAAAGCCCTGTCGAAAATGATGTTTTCAGCACAGCATGTGAAATTTGGCCAAGTGAATTGACTGAAAGGGAGAAAGTTGAGTAGGGAAAGGTTAACTTAAGCAGGAGACCCCTTGAAGACCCGGATTTATTGATGACAATATGGCCTCGGTATTGAGATCTACTTCGCCGGTTTTATTAACTAGGTGGCTAATCATATCACATCATACAATACGCTTTCATTTTCTCGCCTCTACGAACAGTAAATGAAACTAACAAGGTCTCTTTTGGCAGAGCTCAACTCAAAGAAATTATCCCAAATGTGACTATCGAGTTAGGAAGCAGAACACATCTTAATGAGCGTATACATATATATGTATGTATGTATGTATGCTGAATAGTAAAGTTTATCAGTTGCAATGTCATTTTTGCTAGAATTTCTCTGAGCTGTATGCCAGTTTTTCTTTTATTCCTGTTTTTAATTGAAATTTCATAATTTTTCAATACCGACTCTATCTATATGCGTAAAAAGAGAATGACAATGGTCAATTCTTGTATGAGTGAAAAAGAGTGTCTAATCAATTGGAAATCGCATACCAGTCTTATTTCAATTATTATTTATTAAATGTGGGAAAATGCATGCATTAGTATCTTTGAAAGCAGAGCGTTATACATTTTGAATACGTGAATAACAGCAAACGATCAGGTGACTATCACATGAATCGATTTTACACGTTAAATTCTCCACAAAAAGAAAGCATACCGTCTGAAATGGATCAGGCTTCTGACGATCCAAAGACTTCTATTTATCATTTTTCTTCAACTTTTCCCGGTTTGACCGCCATTAATCGTCGAAGAAGGGTGACCTGCAAGAAATGTGATCTTCCTGTTGGCTACGCATATATAGATCAGGCGTATTTGGAATTTAAAAGCAACCAGGCTGAAGAGGACTGTCAAGCCCACTCAGGTGAACGAAATTTTGAGTTCCTGATGATACCACGTCCTATCAATATTAGTGTGAACCCTATAAGACGGGGTTCTTGTGAAATACCTGAATCAGCAAACCCTTATATGACCCTGATTATCAAGAATGCTGAAGGAAATATATTTGATGCTGATGAAATCGTGTGTGACGGTTGTGGAAGTAGTTTGGGAACTCAGATCACTTCCTTTGAACTGTTTCCACCCGCCAATGACTTAGAGATCTGCCAACCCATAAAGGATAAAGAAGAAACGTCGCAATACCATATTTTCTCCACCGAACGTGTCAAGGTAGAACCCATGTTTAGAAATATTGGATTGAAGGAATTGTCGACTACCTATTATGGTGGTGAAAAACACTTCGATGAATTTCAACCCATTGAAGATTCGGATATTTATTCAAATGACTCAAAATTTTGGATGAGACCCCATGAACGGGTGTTGAATGAAGAAAATGGCATAAAGGAAGAGAAACAAAGTTGCTCATGGCCTTCGACATTAGTAGATCTAGTTCGACGGAATGAACTGCCGAAAGGGACTCTCAATTAACTCAGAGAACGAATAAATGTCACCATTCCACGAACGAAACAAAAATGTGTAATTACCTATAATAGTATAGCCAAGATCTTTTATTGCATTAGAAGAAACGAAATATTATTATATACCATTATCCAAATTTGAACTTAATTTCTACCACACGAACTATTGGCGCAAAAGTCTTTGAGATTTTAGAGCTCGTGTATAGTCACAGAAAAGTTGTTTCCATTGTTAGTTGAAAAATTTCCCAGAAATTGGTGTGCATGACAATTTTTTCTCTGATTTCATTTTATTGAGGAGGTAAGAAAGAGAAAATGGAAATTCTTTCCTTGGAAGAAGACGAGCACATTTTCATTCAAAGAAATGGTTACTAACCGACTACAGTTTTAGCCATTTGTCAATTTCAAAAATCACCTCTCTTCAACTTTTAAAGAAAATGTAGTTTCTTGGAAGGAGACACCACAATTTTAATAAAAATGGCGAAAAGTTGGTGATAAGCATTCCTTATGATTGGTTTTCTGGTCTAACTATCAAGATGAGACAACATGAGTGAATTTGGTGGAAAATAAATAAAATGAAGAGTGTGTGGTCTGTGTTTAAACGGATTATCAGATAACTAGACATAAGGCCTTCATAATGCGGTATTTTTGAAGGGGCTACTCGTGGTATTCAACATGGTGGGAAGATGAGTTTAGTGGGACATCTACCTTTGATGCCTTAACCTCAGAAGCCATTATCCCTTAGTGCAAATACAAAGACAGTTTGTATGAGTTACTTGGTCAAGCGCGTATTTGGTTGCATGGGTGTTGTTGTGACAGTTTTAGAAATAAAATAGGACAGGATAAAAATATGTAGATATGACAGTTGGGGTCACATAGACACCGCACCAGTTTCTTTGCTAAATGCGATTGAACATTGGATTTGGAATTTCATGTGAGGTTATTGTCCAAAATGAGCGCAGTTTGTATTTGCCGACTTCAGGATAACTGGTGTTAATTAACATAAAATCTAAGCTCCAATATTTGGAATTTGTCTCACGTATGGCCTCAAAACAGAAATACTATTTCACGAGAGGCCTCGTGTGAGGTGATATTATTGTACAACGAAAAATAAGCGATTTAACAATTAGCCGCACTCATGGTTTATTGACAGTGTTTATGTCAAAATGTGTAGTGCTAATTAACGTCTCAAGCGCTATTCGCATTTTTCCTTGAAACGGTTATATATATATTGCGACAGGGGTATACTCATACAGACACGTGGTGCACCCTGGGCAACGTATATTCATACGGCAAAAACGTGGTGCACCCTGGGCAACGCATACTCATACGGCAAAATGTGGTGCACCCTGGGCAACGTATACTCATAAGGCAAAAAGATCCCTATTAACCGGCAGTTGACTTCTGACTTCAAACTACCATACTATTAACTGGCAGTTGACTTCTCACTTCAAACTACCATCTATTAACCGGCAGTTGACTTCTGACTTCAAACTACCATGAGTCTATAAACTGGCAGTTGACTTCTGACTTCAAACTGCCATGATCCCACTGTATGTCATATTCGACTACTTCCACAGTACTCACATTATTAACTGGCAGTTGACTTCTCACTTCAAACTACCATCTCCCCACTCTATGTCATATTCGACTACTTCCACAGTACTCACCTTACCGTTTTCTCTATCTTTGTGTATGTCTCTGTGAAGCCTGAATTCAACTAAAGTGCTAATTATAGCTTTCATAAAGCTTGCCATTTGAAATAAATATTTTAGGACAACTCCGACTGGCAATATTTTGTGTGTGTGTGTGTGTGTGTGTGTGTGTATTGAAGTGGCAATCCTCAACTGCTTTATTCAAAGTTGATTGGTGCAAAGCTAAATTGAAATTTCAGATAAAGCTTGTCAATTCTTTTTAACTACGCTTTACTAAACCCATTTTCAACTTATAAATGCAGGACCTTGATAAATATATTTGGGAACGCTGATTTCAAATAAGCCATGTGTAGAGAAACAGTCTAATTTAATACGGAAGAAATGTGCTATTCTATCAATACCATAGTTTCAATATCGATTTTCCTTTCAAACACCTCTAGGGGGGAGCAGTGCAGTGCCTATAAAAAGACTGTGATGGGCGAATTTCCCAAACAGTTTGTAACCAATGAATGGTGAGAAATTTCAGTGCGGTTAGTTTTGTTTTTTACACCCGTGAGGTAACTTTGGCGCAGACAGAGTTGGCTACTTCCTTTACGTTGTTTATCCATTTATTAAAGTCGCAAAGTCGCCTTTTTTCCACCTACTGTCTGGTCTTCACCTATAAGGTTTCATGCACCTTTCACTCTCTAAATAAGGGCACCTAGACTATACCTCGCACACCCTCTTGGGGGTCAAACGTCTGTGAATGAAGATAAATCGATACACCTGCAATGTAATTCTTTCTGGCCAAGTGGCCACTGGTGTCAAGCCACTTTAAGCACGGAATCTTTTAAAGTCAACAAAGTATATATATAGAAAGGCTCAAAAGAAAAAGAAACAATCTTTTCGAATTAGATTCTCAACGAAATTATTTTGGTAGTACCTTTTTCGCCTTTTTAACAGCCGAGGACTAAGGGTGGCATTATGAGACAACTAGTCGATTGGTACTCTATTTATGCAGAAAATATTTCCATGCGTGGTACGACATTCATTTCCTCCAGACACGTGATTCAATTAGCGTGAGCCATTTAATTTATCTGCTCATTTTGATTGGTAGGTGAGTCTAATGGTGGTTCTTGAGTAGTTCTTGTGTCTTGAGGCGCAACGTGATGGGTGAGGCTTTAATTCGGACTAGTAGAATTGATGTCCTGAAAGAGCCGAGAAGAGGGAATCACATCTCTCTCTC